TCTCTTTCTCTCTCACACCCTGCCTGCAAATTAGTCACATGACTGTTCACTGCACAGCGGGTAGTCCGCTGTATCGATTATTCCTGCTCCAGTGCACACCCAATGTTCAGTCTGTGTTTACAGCTAAGGGATGAAACACACGATGCACTCATCGTCATATGTCTTCTTACACATGACATTTAGTCCAGTTCCTTCTGTTCTACTATTTCTTTCATATTCATTTGAGGGGCAAAGGTACTCGGAATTAGCCTGAGTGGTAGCAAGCACCAATAGCAGTTACTCGTTGTAGGCTTCTTGATTCTTCACGGATAGAAAGGAAAGGAAAAAATTGGAAGATGGTATGTAGGAACATGCATTATAAACAGTGTGATATGTTGATTGCGCATGGGCTGAGAATATGTAGGGATATTTGTCTGTGTTTCATCTCCATCTTTTGAGGGTTACCTGTGACGGAAACAACTGACGGTATGAGATCGGTGGATAATTCGAGAAATATTGAACAACAACTTGTAGGTGCAATTATACGCTGGAACAAGAATGTTTGGAGCTATCCGGTTCACTGATGACCGTTCTCAACTGGTGCCTCTTGGCGCTGGAATATTCGCTGAAAGAGGAGAACGACCGAAGCACGCAAGCACTGATTCGTTGTGCATGCGCATATGCGAACAGTAGATTCGTCCGAGCCCTGCTCTACATTCATGAGCGCATTGGTGCAGGTTATTCATTTTAAGCTTTTCATAAATTTTTTGTAAATGCGAGGCGTATACCGAGGAGATTAGCGTATGTATGTATGTACGGTATGTATGTATGTATGTATGTATGTATGTATGTATGTATGTATGTATGTATGTATGTATGTGTGTATGTATGTATGTATGTACGTATGTATGTATGTACGTGTGTGTGCATGTATGTATGTTTGTATGTATGTATGTATGTATGTGGGTATGTATGTATAACTTATTATTGTATGTATGTATGTATGTATGTATGTATGTATGTATGTATGTATGTATGTATGTATGTACGTATGTATGTACGTATGTATGTATGTATGTATGTATATATGAGTCAACTCCGCTAGTAGGCAAAGCTACAAAATTGAGTTTCAGGAAAATCAATTTTTGTCTTTTAATTTTTTTTTTTGTCTTTTAATTTTTTTTTTTTGTCTCTTTTAACCAACCCCATTTTGATAATTTTTATTTATCTGTCAAAATGAGCAAGCTTCTTTCCAGTATTAGGGAAGTTTTTTTACAGAGAGTGTAAATTATGTCATCGAAGCGGCTGTTTCGTTTGCGCAAAGTTACCCGGAC